AAAAGGCGTGCATTTATGTCTGTTTACCCGCCACACTGTACACACAACATGCTGCACATGAGCTGGTGGTGGATTGGCAAAATGAAGCACTTGGCAATTAAGATTGTGATCTTTCCTGCACATATATTATTCAAGTTTCTAAAAGTGAACCCACTGACACACTAAAATGCTGTATGGCACAATGAGTAACTCCCCGGTGGGCTTTGCAGTGTTGTCACGCTCTCTGTAGCAGTCACCGTCCCAGAAGAAGGCAATGTGCCACAACCGCAATGTGCCATGAAGCCTTCCCACCTCAGGCACTCCACTGGCAACAATTTAAAACAACTCTCTTTTGTTTTCCCGGCACTGAAACCCCTTCCACCTCCTGACTGCTCCCCAAATAGAAGGCATAATGCATCATCTGAGGAGGGAGCCTGTAGCGGCCTTAATATAACAGCCGGGGAGAAACACCAGTGGACACCGGCCCGCTAATGAATGAATGAGCCTGACGTGTAAAATCAGAAAAGATTACAGACTGAGGGGCAGGCCTCCCAAAAGGTCTCGTAGAACCAGCTGTTTAGATAAGCCCTGTTGCTTCCTCGGAATAACAATTTCTCCACACCAGACTGAGTAAACAAACTGCTAACACTCCTGAGCGTAAGGAGAAGTTTGCATTGTCTTGTTTTGTACCCGGTGAAAATCTAAGACACAAAACAGCACACACATGACAGGAAGATAGAATCATATCATGGTTAGATCTTGCGTTTCCCTCCCCTGTTGCATGTTGACATCTGGACACTGAGGGGACTGTTGGGTATACACAGCCTACAAGCAATAAATAAACAAAGGGGGGCCCAGCCTTGAAAAGCCATACACCTGTGACCAGTGGAAAAGCAGCAGGCGCAGCCGTGTTCATTAAAGAAGCCGGTCCTGACAGTGAGGCCTTTAAGAGGCCATCAGGAGCGACAACTCAGCAGCTACCTTGGGACCGACGAGCGAAAGGCATCAAGGTGAGCAATGCAATTTCAGCTTGAATAATGGAGCACTTTCCTCAGGTTTGACATTCATGTATTTCTCAGGCAGCTGTGAGCTATTCAAGGTTCCCCAGGAAAAACTGGTTCACAGTGTCTACAGGTTCACAATTACTCTGTGCCTTGCTGCTGGTCCGCGGATAATCTCATTCAGAGTCGTTCATGAATTAAAAATAGCACCAAATATATCAAATGTAATGATGCAAAAATTAACTAAAACATTTAGATTAGGCGCAGCAGACATCAATGTCTACATTTTTTCTTTCTTTTTCTTTTTTTTTATCTGGAGAATAATTTAGAAAGTATTTCATTAGGGCAAATTATTTTCTCTTTCCTGTTGGATTCACCAGCCAGATTTCATTTTCACACAATTGCTGATGTAAACTGGTAATAACAGAGGATTAATTTACAAGGAGGCAAAATCCCCCAGTGAGACTTGTGGCCCAGAACAATAATGAGCACATAGTAAACAGAAATTTGCCGTAAGCCAAAAGAGAATGCAGAGGCATCTAATCTACACACTGAAACACACAATGCACACTGATGCATAAAAAAAAAAAATAAATCACATGTATGCAAACGCAACCACGCCCTCTCTCTCTCCCACACATGCATACAAGCAAACAGAGAGAGGAAATGATGGCAGAGGATCTTCCCCAGGCCTCTGTAGCAACATATGTTTGCAGGTAATTAAAAGAAGTTCCCAAGCGGTTATCATGTCATATTGAAATACAATGCACAGAGCAAATTACCTTTCTGTGGTTATTTATACTAAGCTGGGTGAAAGAGGTCGTGTTGCTTTGGTGAACTGTGAACACAGATAAGACGTGTTCATGGCTGTAGCCGTGCAGTGACTTCCAATTGCAATGCAAAGGTCAAAGTTTTATTTAATATATGATGCATAGTGTTTAATATGTGTGTTTCAATTGGTTTTAATTCAATTACACAAGATAAAAAATATGAATTGAGCATATAAGACATTTAAGCACACGCACAACCTGCTGTCTGGAGAGCTCGGAGCCAGTTTTTAAAAGAGCAGAGAAAATTTTGTAATCATTGGTTTTAGTAATAAGATCAGAGCCATCGTCAGGACTTCCTTTGCTTGTTATCTTCAAAGCTGTGGATTCTCAGATTTGTCAGTTTTAATTTGCATCGTTCCCTTGCCCAATTGAGAGCAGAGTATCCATTGTATTAAAAAGCTATCATTATTACAACGTTGTTTAACCTTCCTCCACCTTCTAAGTGAGTTGCGAACGGTGTTCACACTGAGAAGAGGCCACATCAGGAAGTTTCTCAACCAGCCAGTTTTCTGCTTGTGAATCTTTTCCTGCACTTTCAAAACTTTACTTTTTTAAGAACTACACTCAGTAGCACTTTAATATGTATTTTCTATTATGTGGTCTAGAATAGTTTTTTAATTTCTGAACACACTTTACAACCAGATGTTACTCGCTGCAGTACTTTTTCATACTGGGACTTTGCATTCATCCCATTATTTGACATAAGAGCCAGTGAAAACAACAGTTATGTGTTAACATCATATAAAGTTGTCCAGTGTACCATCAAACAGTTTCCTGTTTACTGATCATGCAGACATGGAGCAGCTTTAGCCCTCATTTGGGAATGCGTTTTTGTTCATCTGCAAATGCAAGTCCAGCATGCATTGTTGTTTTTGCTCTGTTTTGGTCAACTCCTGAAGGAAATATCTGACTCTTTAGCTGCTAAATGTTTCATTATGTTTACCAGCAAGTTGCTAATCTTTTCCTAAATAATTTAAGCTTAAGCATCTCTATCTGTCTGAACTGGGGGCTTCAGTCCCTGGTGCTATTTATGTGCTTAAAGGAAATTAACACTGTGGTCGCATCTTGGTACATTTGCAAACTTGCACATTTGTATTTCTTATGGCTCTCATTTCCTGCATTTGTTTGTTATTCATTGTTACTGTTGTTGTCCCTTTTTGTTCTGTTAATATGTGCTGCAAACCAAATTATCCGAGTGGACAATGAAGACAACCTTGAATCTTGAGAATCTGTGTCAGGTATCTTGTGAAAAATCGTGTGACACAATGATTTACACATATTTACGAATACGTGCTTCACCAATATTTCATCCATTTAACACAGTAATCAGCACATAAAACTAAAGAACTGAGACTGGGATCAGGGCCAAAACACTTTGGGACAGCCCTAATAAAAATATTGATTAGTTCAGCTTTAAAGATTATTCAGATGGGGGAGTTTGAAGTAATCACTCTTTACGATGCGCAGTGCATATTTCCTGTTAATCTTGATTTGTAAAATGTTTCCATACAGCCCGTAGCTTTGAGATTCATTTAAATCCAGATGCTAGAGACCACTAAAAGACTTGCAGTTGAATTTGAGAATCTTCACTTTATTGTGCTCATGTCAAAAACAACCCCCCTACACAACCATTTCCTAAAATAGATTAAGTACACTCCCCTTGGCTTCAAATGCTGTGCGCTGCTGCCCAGAGTTTGAAAATGTAGCTGCCAGACGCTGCTCAGGATTATCTGGTGTGTCAAAAAGTGTCCTACTGCGTAGCATCTCACACCATTCCACCAATCAGTGTGCTGGCTGCCACAATGATCCATTCATCCGTCCATCCGTCCATCCACCGCATCAGTTCTTCTCTATGGACACAAACCCGAGTTTCGCTGTGTCTGAGGGAGCTTCCTTCCCATCTGACAGACAGGTGATTCTCTTTTGAAGTGGCTCCGTCTCCCTCCCTGATGTGGAGGCCAGACAATGAGCCTCCCCCTCAAGACCCCATTAAAGCAAAACCCAGGGTCCACAGGTTTGATATTCATCGCCTGGGCAACCTCTGCCATCAACACATTTCGTGCCACGTGAGAATGATCACAGCTTATTAAAGTGGAAATAATGACTGCTCTACCTCCGGCATGAAATATTTAACAAGGACAAAGGAGATGGCTCAAAGGTGATTCATATCTATGTTGAAAGGAGAGAACGTGGACAATACCGTCTATACAGGAAGTGCAGATGAACCTTGGTTAACCTGAGCTTAGAAGGGACTGTCGGCGATTGAAATTTGTACCTCAATGGAAGCAGAAATAGAAGAATAGTGGCAGAAGGTGTTGTGAATTAATGTTTATTAGCGAATACAAAGATGTTGGTATAACAGCAAGCTGCATACAGTGCACTACACTCTCCTATATTCCACCTCATGGCATTTACAGTGCACACAAAGCAGACTTCTGAATCCAGCTTTGAAATGTATGTGCTCCTTTTTAACCATCTTTTCATTTTAATCATTTTCTCTCATTCCCAACTGAGCTCAGAACGTATATAGCATCCAATTTCTGGATGTGAAATTATTGATGTATTTTTCCTTCTAGCTTGGGTAAATTAGCTTTTTTTTTTGGCCCCTTGGGAAAATCAGGGGGAAGGAGGAAAGCGAAAATGTTCTCCATCAAGTGTGATTGAATTGGATTTTACAAGATGAATTGCCAGGACAAGAGTTTATCCCAATTACATTGCCAAGAGGCGTCAGTCCTGCTGTAGCCACTCTGGTCAACAGCAATTAGGGTCAGCTTTGAGTTATCAGGGTCCGTCATTGTGAGAAGATGTTTACAATCCGAGCAGAAAGTGGCTAAATGCAACAGGCCAACATTTGCAACCATAAAAAGTGGTTTGTGGTTTGGGCCAAGATTTCATGAAATTACAGATCTGACAGCCAAAACACGAGCAGAGCAAAACACAGCTGTCTTTTCCATAGCCCACACATCTTTTAATTTAGTGGAATACAATACAGACTGCAGAGACTGTCTCTGGCTCTTTGTGTGGCCATCCATTTTTCTTTTTCGCATATTTTTTTTCTTTGATGTAACCTGTATGATTTGCTGATGTTGAAACTCAGCATGTCTTTCATCTGTCTCTCGTGAAGACTACACTTACCACAGACGGTGGCAGCAAGGCTGATGACTGGCACACAGTGAGGTGATGTTCTTACCTTCCCCAGACTGGGGCCCCACAGATATCTCAGGCTGAAAACACACAGAGCCAAAACCAGGAAGACCAGAGCCAGGACCAGAGCCACTCGCTGATAGGTGTGGTACTTGGCCTTCTTCTCTTTTCCAGCCTCGACCTGCAAACAACAGAAGTTTAAATATTTATGTGGCATGTACACAAGTGACCCAAATACCACATCATCATTCATCGCAACCTAATTGAACACAGAACTGTTACTTGAAGGAATAATGTGAGATTTTCAAAATATTCAAGTGAGACAGATACCACTTTTTTATTTGCTAGTTTAAGATAAAGACTTGAAAAGCAAATCTGCCTCCCGTGAAGCTCATTAATTAACACATCATATCTCCCTTGTTTAACAGCTTGTGGTCGGCAACCCCATTGTGTACATTATTTTTTAAAATGAAGTGTAATGTGGTATTTAGGCAGCTTTATAAGTGCTATAAACAGATTTTTAAAATCTTTTGAAACCACAAGGCTGTCTGTTTGCTACTTTTCCCCACTCTTCATGCTATGCTAAGCTAATTGTCGGCTGGCTGTAGCTTTGTGTAGTTGTGAATTGGGAGGAGCTGCTAGTTGTGGAAGGGTTTTTGTCCATTCTCAGTTTCTCTTTCAGCAACATTTTCAGTTTTATTCAACACATATACACATGACTCTCCTGCATGATGTAACGTCCGTGTAACTTCATTAAATGATTACCAGCTGGTATTGTCACAATACTGGAATTTCAAACTCTGATACTATCCTTTGAAAAAAATCAAATAGCATATTGATAGCATTGCCACCACACTGAAGACATAAAATATTAGAATTAATTAATCAATGGATAAATATAGCAGCTTGACATGACGAGTTGTATTGTTACATTAATAAAAGTTTGCTTATGTTTTTTGACTTCTCGTTTGCCTGAAATCCAAAGTATTTTCAACAGAGCCAGAGAGTTTACCAGCTGGACCATAACTCATGTTGCAGTAGCACAGAAACTGTTCTTGTTACATTATTTTTCTGCGAGGCGAATCGTTGCAGGCCAAACAGTCAAGTTTCTTGGTCACTTACCGTTATCATTTATGTATGCAGACATGACTGCTATGTAAGAGCACACCAGAGGAGCTCATAAATAATAAGCAGTTTCATGTAACCCTCAACTGATTTAAAAAAAAATGTGGAACAGTTTTTCCAAGTTATGTTTTTGTAATTGTTGATATTGCAGTTTTAATTACACTTCACTCTGGGTTGTGAGTGATGATGGCCAGAGGGCCCACCCCTCGGCTCCTGGCTCCAGACAGCACTCCTGCTCTTTTCTTTATCCACCAAAACAGGTTGCAGAAGCTCTGCACTTACTATCTTCATACCACCATAACGCAACACTATTCAACCGGAGCGCATAAGAAGAACACAACACTTTGAGAGAATGATAGGAGGTAGAGTTTGTCAGCTTACTTTTCAAGAGAAGGTGAGTGACACATTGCAGCTGGTTTTAGTGTATACGTATCATGGAAAGCAAGTATTAAAATTGTTTCAAATATTTAGAATCAATATGTATGGGAAAATGTATATTTTGGACAACATTAGTACTGATTTTAATTATTTAGTTCCATCCAAAAAAAATCACATTTTATCCATTGTTTTATTTTTGTGCTCAAAATACTAGAATACCCATGAGCCTTGACTGCTGTTGCTAGGCGAGAAGAACACTTGTAAAGCAGATCTGTAGGAACTTCAATATTCTTTTTTGTTGAATTTCAATACAAAATAGTCGCCAAAATCCAAAACAGATCCAGAAATCCAATGTGAATTCAGATAAACTACAGGTTATGTTTTCAGTTTTCTTCGCGGCCTAGTCCAGAGGTGCACATAACAAAACCTCAAGCTCTGTGATTGGATGTTTCTTGCCAAAATGCAACTTGGGACTTTAAGTTGACTTCTCATCTTCCGTTTTCATGTACACAGGCTTGTACTTCACTTTTTTTCTCATTCAGAGAACCGTATATTCTCTGAGGCAGTTGCTTTATCTTGTATACTGCCTGAACTAGCTTTTCCCACTTCGAAACTGAAGTTAATACTTCCATGTGTCAGTTTTCTCTTATTGCATTTAACCAATGGGGATGTTGTTTGATTTGGTTGCTCAGCAACATTTATCCACCAATGCAGCTGCTGATGACAAAAATGTAGCCATTCCCATGCCAAGTGCAGGGGAGAACAGGCAGCCAAAAGTGTCACAGAAAGGTTACATTTATTAAACTTTTCTTCAAATTAAAACTCTGCCCGCTGCAGTCAATTCCCCAAGCTTAAGGCCACAAATTAATAAAGACAGGCTTTTGTTCCACCAGAGCTCCAGCAGGGAGAAAATGAAAGCTACTCATTCACACTGGACCACTTTTGAAGGTCTCAGAGGACAACAGAAAAGCAGATATGTAAAAAAAAAAAAAAATGGAACCAACTTCAATTAGCAAAATTGGTGTTGCTTATCTTCATGTCTTTTAAAAATGATGATAAAGCAGCTTTGGTTTTCTATTGTGGCCGAGGTTGTTACAGTAGTTAAGCTCTGGTAGATTGGACAGCACTTTAACATACTGGCTTTTTAATATAATATATAGGAATTAATTTTGAAAAACAGTTGTAGACTTTTTTAACCTTTGGGCTTGTTTTCTGTTAAAATGATTAGCCACAGTTGTTCCAAAATCTACATTTCATATGCCTTTTTTTTGTTGTTTTAAAAGTACATAATGTAGGTGGCATCACTAAGAGGCCTAAATATGATTTAGTAATAACAGCATGTGGATGCATTGAATTTCTGGTTGGTAAATACATTAGCAGCTGTGGAAGGGACAGACGATACATTATTCAAGATAGCTCTTAAAAACCTAAACTGGGCCTTATCCATTAATGAAATCTGTACTCCCACCATTCGTTATTTGACATTGTAGAGGAGCCTCAAAAATGTCAGGCACATCAAAGTATTGTACATTCCTAGGGCATGATGAAAAAACAGAGGGCCACAACCGGGAGCTAGAAATTCCATATACTATGAATTTCTCAGAATAAAGAAAAAAAAGAAAAGAAACGGTGGCTGAAATCCTCTGCTCTCCTGTGGCAGATTGCATAAGCAGTGGAAACTTAACTAGAGGACAAACCTCTCTCTGCCTGTGCTTTGAATATCGAATACTCAGAGGAAGGAGGTGGGATTGAGAGACAGACACACAGACAGAGAGACAGACAGAAATAAAGGCACGGATGGAGACAGTGTGAGCAGTCTGAGTGCACAGCACCCGCCAACTAGTGTTTAAAGGTTTAGGAGTTCAGAATCAGCCAGGCAATTCCTCCTGAGCTTTCTGAGGAAGAGTGCCTGGAGCCCCCTGCTGTTATCATACAAAGAAGGAGCACTTTCTTGAGAAAACAAAAGAAAAAAAACAGAGGTAGCCTACATAAACCAACAAGCAGGCAGTGGTTTATCACACCAGGCCACACTCATATAAGCATTTGAATTTCTGTAAAAGTTATTCTGAATTAAGAGGCCCTAGATGATTTCTTAATCATAACCCATCACTTACAGTGCATTCACATAGACTCACCTTTTCTATGCAAAGGATTGCGTTTTGTCATACATGCATACATATATACATACACACACACACAGATAAAGATATTTTTATATATGGTGGTGGGTTGTGAAGGTGCTTTTTCATTGTGCTATTGTTTGCAAGTTTGGAGACAAATAAAATAATTGAAAGAGAAGAAAAGAATCCCTCCACAATGACAAATTCTAAAATAAATGCAATTCTTTGTGTATTTTTATGCTCCTTTTAAGGATATTGTATGCATAAAGCAAATGAAATGGACCAGGTAAGATGAGGGGAAATAAAAGAAAGGAACTCAGGTGAAAAAAAAAAAAAAAAACTCAGATGGAAAATGCAATATTAAGGGGAAAACTCTGATCACTCAGCAAGACATCAAGCCACATTTGTTTTTGTCTCTGAAAAGAAGCAGATTTCTGACATATTTAAGTGAAAGTCTTCCTTAAAATATCACATTATATATATATTTTTTTCTGTTTAAACCACGACTGCTGCAACCTGCACTTAATTTATTGAGTTGTAAAATTTTAAGGGGACTGTTGGTCTCCTTGACTTTGCAGGGACCTAAAATTCTAGTCCATATTTTAAAAGACTATGAATGATGCAGTTGATTTTAAACTGTTTGTGCACTTAATTAATTAAGTGCTATAAATCAAACTTAAAAAAAATAAGAAAATGGACTCACATCTTTCCACAGAATCTGCTGACTGCTGGATTGACTGCTAGCCTCCATGATGCAAGCCCACTGGTGGAATCTTTCCGCTCCTCTTAGCTGGGGAAAATACCTATGCTCTGCAAGGCAAAGAGCCCCAGCTTCATTCCTCTGCTGAAACTTGGGAGTGTGCTGAAGGGGAGGGAAGTTTCGGATGGAGTGGAATTACTGAAACATTTGTGATACCCATTAAAAGCAAGGCAGATGTCTATCCCGCCTGCCTGCCTGCCTGCTCCCGTTTCAAAGGTGGAAAAACCACAAATGATTTCAGGCTGAAAGACAAACCCTCTGTTGAATAAATTACATACTATACTTGGATGAAAACACTGTAGTTTTGCGCTCAAATGAATCCTGCTTGGAGGACACAAAGTTCCAAAATAAATAATTATATAAGTGTTGGTAGATGTGTGTCGATGCACTATGTAGGCACTATTTATCTTTTCTGTATTATTTCTTTGAAGTGAGGGGTTCAAGTACTGTCTCTCTGCTTTTGTTCCCCAGTCATGAATCTGCACACTCAACAAAAAAAAAAAAGAGAGAGAAAGTGGTCTAGGAACTGAAATGACTGAATAGCAGCATGACAAAAGAATCAACCTTATAAAATGAGAATAATTTGCACTTGTGCACATACAGGAAGAAAAGAGGAATGAAGCAAAGATTGCTATCTGAGGACAGAAGTTTATAGGTCGGTACCAGACATGTTTTTAGGCACACACAGGAATATTACATCTTCTCCTCGATTGTCGAAAAATCTAGAGTCTATAAAAACCCAAATATTGTTCATTTCAAAACCTAACTGTTAGATGCATCTTGTGGAAAGCTGCTTGCATGGGTATCGATATTGAGATGATATTTCACCCATCCAAGGAGCCCTTCCACAAGATGGAATAAACACAGTACACCTGTAACCAAAGGGCATCTGAAAGTGATCACTGCAAAGACCCGGCAGCGCTTCTACATCATTTTCTACCTGTTGGATACAGTCTTAACTGAAAACTACATTCTCAGTATACCAGGGGTTTCACATTTCTACATCACACTTGTGCATGTCACACTCTGAACCCTGATCAGTTTCCAGTCTGGTTGTGATGTGATAAAAATCATGCCGGTCACAGTCAGATTTAAGGTAAGCACGGAGAAACTTTACCTCTGCAGCTGATAAACATGACAGCTTCTAGTGTCAGACTCTGCACGTACATATTCTGCACAGTGAGGCTCAAACATCCAAGCAGAGTGAAGAATAACACATTTTTCAAGTGGAGCGGAGAAGCTCATCATTAAAAACTCACCCTTCTTAAAGTCAGGGTAATTTTCTCTCTCTCTCTCTCTCTTTTTGCTTTTTTTTGGTTTACATTTTGTGTCGTGCATGCTCAGACTTTGTTGTGGGAAGTCTCTCAGTTGTTCTTTGGATGCAATTAGTAGTAAACCAGTTTTAAGGACTCACAAGGGAGGGGTTAAATAACACATGCAGTAACTGAAGCTTCTCAAAAATTGGCACCCTCAGAAGCTCCTGGCAAGCTTAACAATGCCGTCTGATGGTACCAAGTTATTTATCTCAACTACACTGTGCACAGTACCAGGAATAGTTTTTGAAGATGACACTGTGACACCTACAGTTTTTCTTCTCTTTGGACAGAACAGTGGTGGAAAAGTTAACCTTGTTACATTACTGTTTGTTTTATTTAGGTTCACAAAATTCCGTTTTGGGTGAAATATGACACAACAGTGGAGTCTCAAATAGCTTTTTCTGTTTTTTAGTAGCCTACTGTTCTGTAAGTCAGGGCTTGTTTCCAGCCTCTGCAAATTCAGCTACAGATGCACAATACTATGTGCTGTGATTCATTTGTACGAGAAGTCAGTAGAGTCAGGCAATAAAGACTAGAGATTATGATGAGGACAGGCAGGATTAGACCCAGGATCTACTGTAGGGCTGCCATGATATGACATGATACCAGTAATGCTTTCTGTAAAACTACCTTTTCGGGTGTTTAGATTAGAAACTAGCACATGAAAGAACAAAAAACATGCCAGCCAGTGTTGTACTCTTGTCCATAATGAGACATGAACTGAAATATTAGCTAATTCAACAAAACTTTTGAGTTCTTTAAATGCCAACAGATTTCTTATCAACAAGATAGTGATAGTATAAATGATCAAG